GAAGGTGGGCGACCCTGCTGGGCCCACGCACCCCTCCCCGTCGCCGCGCCCTCTCCTTTGTCTCCAACGCGATTTTCTAAACCGCCTTATCTGCAGACTATATCTTTATACTAATGCATACTTAATTGGCCCGTCTTGACTGTCCATATAAAACAATTTAATTAGGGCGCTTTCTTGCCTCGCAGAGCGAAGAATGGACGCTGCCCGGTGCTCATTGTCGTTAGCACCAATACAGGCAGAAAATGTAGCACAAGTTTTTGGTTGAAAGAGCACCTCTGCGCCCATTGAAGGGCGCTGATCCGAAAAGACAGAGAGGACAAGTAAAATCGATTTGAAGCGACCCTCTCTGTCCCTTTCACACCATTCAGAAACCCCATTCCTTCCAAGACAAAGACCAGCGCTTGGGAATTCTCAGGGGAAAGGGGGACTCCAGTCCCACAAGCCTGGGGCACTTTTAAAAAATCCTGGACATTGCACTTAAAACCACTCTCGGTGCTGTGCCCCCCAGTGCGGGGCTTGGCAGGCACCCCCTCCCCAAGCGCCAGGCTTCGTGTCTCACCAGCCCCTACTCCTCCTGCCTGGGCCTTCCGGCCAGGCCAGCCTTTTAGGGTTAATGCAGCCCTCACCTTTGACCCCCACGATCGCAGTGGGTGCCAGAGGGTGTGGAGCTATCACTCAGGCCGAACTTAAGACAAAACAAAGCCCCCAAAATCTTTGGACTGCCAAACCCAGGGAGACCAGGTCTGGTCCCCGGGCCTGAGCCACCTTCCCCCGAAAGCCACCTCTGCCCTCAACTTAATTTTGTTCTGTTTGCAAAAAACTGCCCTCGCCACCCGGAGAGCAGGGGACTGCCAGGGCTGCCTGTGGCCGGCTGCAGGGAGTTGTCCTCCATTAGGGACCTGAATGCCAGTTTATCCGCCAGGCGCCTGGGCCGGGGAAGGCGGTCATCCATCAGACCTGGATGAGAAGGGACGAGTGGGAGGGGGAGAGGGGAGGGGAGGAGAGGGGAGACACTGGGCTATGATCACCTTCACCTGCCCCAGCCCAGCCCCCCTGTTCAACTATCCCTCGACCTTGTGCTGGGGTTAAAGGGGGCGGGGGCGAAAAGGAGGGGGCGCCCCCCCTGACACAAGTGGCCTCCTCCTTGGAGAGAATGAGTTCACCACTTCCCCAAGGAACCTCCCCATCCATCCATCCACTCGGTGCAACTGATGAGCTAAACCGCAAGGCAAAACTTCTGTAGCCCATATTTATGGTATTAATGAATAGTTAAAAAAAGATTTACACTTCTTATGATCAATATTCGGAGTTATTTCCCCCAAAGTATATAATTACAGTGTCTTCGGGGTTTTCATCATTGTTTTTGAGGTGGCAAACCCATTTGTAATTTTCATTAGCCAGTAAACATGTAATTAACATTCAGCACTGTGTTTAACTTAATTCCTGTTTAAGACAAGGACAAGAAGCCGCCGAAAAGCCCGAGATCCATTTGTCAAGTCTGACATACATCTTACCATACAGTTTCCTAAAATAAAAGATCCGTGTTTCCCATTATTCTTCTCTTAAAACAAAACACAAGAATCCATTAGTTAAAACTGTATTAAACTGCAAGCCGCCGCGTAAGTTACTCTCGCTTTCTCTAGTCACTGTGTTCCCGCTCCCTTTATTCATTCTGGGGAGGGTGGGGGCCTGGAGGGGGTGAATCAAGCATTCATTAATCTGATGACAAGACATGGGGAACCCCTCCCCCCCCCCAGAGGAACAGGTCTCCTCTTTAGGAAAGTTCTAGAATGGGGACTGGGAATGGGGGGGGTGGGGGCACAGATCTGCAGGGGAGAGGGGAAGCTCACTGGGGAGAACTCGAGTTCGAAGTAGGAAAACGAGGGTGCCTACACATTCCTAGGAAAACCATCGCCTTCCTCTTCCCAGCCCCATCTCTGACCCAGGAGCCTGCTGCCTTTTCCCCCCTCCTCTCCCACCTCTCCTTCCTCCCAACTTGCTGCAGGATTAGCCCTACATCCCTCCCGACCCCAAAACAGTGGAATCCGGCTGCGCCTCGCTCGCTCGCCCCTGCCTCGCGGCACATCCCTGGAGTTGTGGGCGCCTCTCTGGGGCTGAGCAGTCGTCTGCTCCCAGCCTCCGACTACTAAACTCATTAAGTTCGGAGATTTTTTTTTTTTTCTCTCCAATTGGACGGGTGTTTTGAAAGTCTCGCCTTTCCAGCCCCAAACAAGGTGTAACAACGCACTCTTCCTTCTAAGGAATGAGATGAGAGACAAGGATCACTCCAGACATCTCCTACCTACGGTTTGGGGTGGGTTTTTTTTTTTCTTTCTTTTTTTTTTTTTTTTTCTTAAAGGCGAGGCTCGCATTCCTCAGCAGCTATGTACCAGCTCCCTGAAACCTCCTCGCTCTAAAGTTGGCGTGCAGGGTTTCCCGAAGGCTCGGTCGGCGCGCCCGAGACGCGGGAAGGCACTTCCCCCCCAGGTGGCCGGGCGCTCCCGTCACCTCTCCTCCGCTTCGCTGCCGGCGAGCGCCGACTTTTTATCAGTTTGCACAATCGCTTAGATAAACACCGAGGAAGAGAGAGAGAGTCTCTTTAATTATCCAAGACACATCATTTCAGGGGTCCAACAAAGCGCGTATTGCACCCGCCAAACTAAAGGACAGTTCTTCCAGTTTTAGGAGGAAGATGCAAGCGATTTGGGATCTTGAGCAAGGCAAATACGGTTTTGGTATGTTTGCTTACAGTATTTTTTTTTCCCCTCTCTCTCTCTTCCTCTCTCTCTCTCTCTCTCTCTCTCTCCCTCTTTCTTTCTGCTTTCTCACTTTTCTCCCGGTGCCGTGTGGGGTTGGGGATGACTTGGGGATTTTTTCCAAAAATCGTATTGCTAACGTGTATGCAATGCCTCGGGTTGTGGCTTAAGGGGTTTGGGGAAGGGGGGGGACGGTCCATTCAATGCGTTGCCATATTTTATTACATGTGTGTGGTGGAGGGGGGCGAGGGGGAAAATCCGATTGCGAAGGTGCCAAAATAGGATTCAACCGATGGGGACAGACAGACAGACCGCCGGCCGCCCCTCGCCTCCTCGCGTCCGCTCCGACCCAGCGCCTCCGGGAGCGCAAACTGCAAAGCGGTCCTCTGAGCTGTTTTTTCCAGGCAGGAGATGACTCGCTCTGCTAGCTCAGGAGCTGCTAGGCTCGCACCCGAGGATCGGCATGTCCTGGTCGATCGGCCGCTGAGCTACATTTTTGCAACCTTGTGCAACTGACAGCA